TTTGAGCTTCGGGTATCGCGGCGAAAAAATATCGCTGACGCTGTTGGCGTTCGCTTGACATACAAAACGCGGGGACATAGAAAAAATCGCTACCAAGGATTTGTAATAAATTCAACGTTGTCGCGTGGAAAGCGAGACGGACGACTACGATGGTTGCACCGACATAATCGAGGAGGGAATTGTGCTACAATAATTTACCATCGTAAAATTAACGCTAGGTTTACGGAAAATTAGAAGCAAATCTTTTTATTTAAAAAAAGTTATTTTTATTACGTGATTAAAATAAGAAACATATATTTGAGACTTTTATCATAATACACATATGTGCTCACGAAAGTTAAATGACATATCGTTAACATTTCAGTAAAATTTGATATTTTAACGATTACATGCTTGTATTGATGCAACATATTTATTTACGTTGCAATATAATAAGATAAATAAAGCAATAAATAAATATTGCAATATAGTGCAATAAAATAAAAAAAGTGAAACAAGATGAAAACAGGTTTTCAAATTAAAAGAAATAAAAAAATAAAAATTGAAAATTAGGAAAGGATAAAAAATAAAATTAATATTGTTGTGTTGATACAGTACTTTTATCGATAAGCGTATGTCCAATGAAACTGTACTGAATAAATTCTCCATAAATACATCTGTACAATGTCAGTAATCGGAAATTGCAAAATTAATACATATAATTTGAATTTCGACTAATGCTGTAAAAATCTCACCGGAGCGGCGTGAGTAACAGTAGTTCCCGGGACATTTTCTGGTCTAATTTCGGTTCAATTCGCTCTCTAGAAAAACATTCAAGCTTCTGAAGAAAGTTGCCATCGATGACGAGGCGGATCGAGAAACAAGTAAAAGTTTGTGCAAAGTTTTATCGGCTGGCGGACAGCCGACTTTATAAATTCCTTCGGCCCCGATCCAACCATCCCCGCATCCGAGCACTCGTAAACATTTTACGCTTTTCATTCGGAGTCGATGCGTGCAACTTCGAGATAAACTTTTTCCAGTATTCATGATCGTATCGTCGAAGACTGTTGCGAGGGAGGGAGGGAGCCAGAGATACTCGTAAAGCAAAGGGAGCTTGTAAAACGAAATACTCCATCTCTCGGTACCATTCATCATAAAGGCTCTTGCTATTTTTGTTGCTGGACCCTGATTGGTAAAGAAAGTCATAAGCCGAGCTAAGAATTAGACATTGTCTTCTGGTTTAATATTTTCAACATTATTTTCAATTTATATTATATTTAATATTATTTTAAATTTGTATTATATTTAATATTATTATCAATTTATATTATATTCGATATTATTTTCAATTTATATTATATTCAATATTATTTTCGATTTATATTATATTCAATATTATTTTCGATTTATATTATATTCAATTTTATTTCCAATTTATATTATATTCAATATTATTATCAATTTATACATATATTATAATCAATATTATTTTCAATTTATATTATATTCAATATTATTTTAAATTTATATTATATTCGATATTATCATATCAATTTATATTATATTCGATATTATTTTCAATTTATATTATATACAATATTATCTTAAATTTATATTGTATTCAATATTATATATATTTTCAATTTATATTATATTTGATATTATTTTCAATCTATATTATATTCTATATTATTTTCAATCTATATTATATTCAATCTTTCAAGGTTCAACCTATTTAACACTGGAAGTGATTGGTTTCTAATATTTTCATTAATAGTTGCTGACANGATATTACTTTCAATTTGTATTATATTCAATATTATTTTCAGTCTATATTATATTCGATATTATTTTCAATTTATGTTATATTGAATATTATTTTTTATTTACATTATATTCAATATTACTTTCAATTTATAGCATATTCTA